TCTTTATTTTCTCCCATAAATGTCTTCTTTTCTATCTACTGTGTCCCTTTAGGAGATGGGCGATCATGGCTCTCCACAATATTCTGACCTATCTTAGCAGTGTTTTTTTTTTGCTATCTTTTCTAATTCCTGTTCTATCAGTCATTTACACAAGCCGGGTAGTTCATTCGCTGCTTTACATATTCTGACAGGTACAAGAAACAGACTGTCAGCATTCATTGTTGATACCTGTATACAGTTCTTATACGAGGGTCGGCTGGAAAGTTCTTAGGCTGACCAAAGCTACCATGAGGTTGATGAAAGCAGACGATAAGACGACAAGATAACAGAGTTTCAGTATGCGACAGTGACAAAACTGAATAAGACAAAAAACGTGGGGCAGCGTCCAGGAAAGTATGAAAAGAAAAAGTCAGCAAAATCTCTTTTGTTTCCATCTTACTTAAAACATCGTCGTTTGTAACATGCAGCATGTGTTAAAAATATTTGATCACACGCGCGCACGCACACACACGTATCAGTTTCTAAAGAATTATTGTTTTTTTTTATTTTTAATCCAACATTTTTATTACAAGTGGAGTATCCACTAAAATAACGTTTGAAGTAATAACACCCCCATATATATATATATACATACACACACATGCGCGCGCACACACACACACATGTATATTTATATATATTTTCACTTCTGAATTATGCGCATTGAAAGAGATGTTAATCTTATGGAATAGTAGATATTTGTTGTGTAGAATAAAAGTTTTGTTCATTAGGTTGTGGACTTATTGATGTCCTTATTGAGACACACACATACACGTACGCACATGCTACACGTATATATATATATATATATATATATATATATATATATATATATATATATATACTTTTCTTTACAATTGGAATTAAGATACCTTTAGTTAATGACCTTTTTTCACCTGTGACACTATTTAGGGTTGCGTGAAAAAAAAAAAAAAAAAAAAAAAGCGAGAATTAAATTAGGAGATAAGAATTTATCACGAAAAGACGATGTTATTTTTTTTCTAACAAGGAAAAGTGATAAAGATTTTATTTTTATTAGCGAAGAAAGTAAGGTCGCGCATCTGTCGCGTATGATTTATGACGGCGCACCGAATGGTGAAAATTTCAGGTCGGTCAGGTGGCCTACAGGACAGAATTCTAAGAGATAAAAATTAATTGGGTCGAGAGAAAAATGTCCGCTGTACCACCCGCAGAGTACCAGGAAGGAAAGATTAAACCCTTAACTATCTGCGGAGGCATCATTTGAGAAAAAGCATGTTTTGTGTCGGAGCTGGCTATGATAGAAAAATTATTTTATCGAAACAGTTAATTAGCCACAGAATTCAAAGTCGCCAGATGACCACCCACTTGATGCTAGCAAAAATCTGATTGACGAACTCCAGGTGACATTCCGTTAAGATAAGTCTAAGGATTTGTTGTCGAGAAGAAGAAAAAGAAAGAAAAGGAAAAAAAGAAAAAGGAAGATAATTTTTTTTTCTTTGAGCAAGATTTTTTTCAACCGAGGCTAGTCCGGCCACACCCACGCCACTGAGCGCCCATTGGCTGAATGGTGGCGTGAGCGGTAGGCTAAGGTAATCATGTGAAGAAGGAGGGGAGGCCTGTTGACGCTCCCTGAAGGGATCGGTATGAGATGCCACTGTGAGAGAGAGGGGAAACCCGTTGACACCCTCTGAGGGTATGGGTGAGATACCAATATGAGAAAGGAAGAATTTGGGAGGACGAAAGACTTCCAAAAATGGAAATTAATAATTCTTCCTGACCGAGAACAAAGAAAAACCCTTAATGCGGATTTAGAATTATCAAGGAACCTCAAGCCCCGACAGGCCCACCCCGGTTTTGGTCGGCGTCCATATAAGCAGAGTCGCAACGAGTAAGACGGCAGTTGAGTTGAGTTCGCAGTTCGCAGTTGGGGTTAGACAGACAGGCAAACAGTTGCAGTGAGCTGAGAGCTAGCAGACAGCCTCGCAGAAGCTGATTTGAGATCCCACGCAATCACGATCTCAACTTCTAACCAAGAACAATTTATATTTGAAGAACGACTCAAACTTACACCACCAAAACAAGTTTTACGAATATCGCCTGAAGATACACCAAGAACCAGTTTCTTAAAAGAACCATTTAAGATGTTAAGACTCGCCTGACAAACGCAAAGTGTCACGTATTCATAAGCGGGTTGGGAGAAAGACGGAGTCCTGTATTCAGCAACCAGATATAAAATATTATCCTTTTTTTAACACATTTGAACTTTTCGAGTTATTACTTTATTTTCTTTTACATATACCTGGGCGGTATTAGCCTTGTTCGAACTCGACTTGCATTACGGCCCGGCGACTGATTGATTTCATCTACCTAAGATCAAATCACAACGTGGGTAGGTTAGACTAGAAATCAAAACAGTTACTTCGGTAACCAGACGTTGGAGGCGAGCTCGGAACGACAAGGCTTATGCCGAATCTAATCAGATTCCCATCCGAATCAGCAAAAGGTTAGAACGTCACATTTGGTGCCGCGACCAATACCAAGTCACATTGGTCGTCACAGGACAGGATAGGACGGCGACGGCGCGGAAACAGACGGGGTGACGTCACAATTGGCTCCGCGACCAGGACAGCACGGCGGGCGCGTCCAGGCAGATGTCACGTTTGGCGCAGCGACACCGGGGGACGTCACACACCTACAAATTTTAATTTTAAAATTCCCAGGATTTTTCAAATTGTTTATGGTATCAGTTTGTAGTGGGGTCATTAAAATTAAAATTCGTAGGTGAAAAATCCACTAACTAAATATATCTTGATTCCAATTGTAAAGAAAATTTGCTCTGTTTAATGAAAGTAAACATTAGTGAGTCAGTTTTGGCATATTTCAAATTTAATGTTGTCTTAATAGGACTCGCCTGGATTATAACAACGGGGATTAATATATATATATATATATATATATATATATATATATATATATATATAGGGGTTTCATTAAGACAGATTATATATAAGGGTGTATCATTAAGACGGATCAAAGTCAGCTGTAAATAAATCAGTGTTATTGGTGTAAATTTATTTATTTCTCAATTGGATCATGTTCTTTAAGTCATGCCAATTATCCGTGAAAAATAATATCGCCTAAATATCCGCTAAATCAGAAAGAAAAAGAAAAAAATCATTAGACACTTAAAAATAATTCACATTTAAAATCGGCCCAAGTTATTGGAACATCCTTTATATATGTATTGTTTTCATTTATGGAGCTAGAGTGCTCAAATTCAGAGATGGAACATTTGAACATATAGAGTGCATAGACATAAAAATCAACACTACGTATTTTCGGAATATACGGTGTTGATTTTTATCGACACAGCAAGAGCTTCCCACGTTGGCAGCTCACGTGGCCATCTTAGCATATTATGATATTTACCTGCTTCCCTACGAAGTAGGATGCAGCACAAGGCCAAATTTAATGTGGGAAAATCCGAGGCTGTGGACTTTGGGTAAAAATTACCCGTAGACCCCGTATAAATGGGTTCGGGTATCTGTCTACCTCCCCGGACGAGACTCTACCCTTCGGCATAGCTTCGTCCCCGTTCCTCTCAAGAGTTCGACACGACAAGAGCTTTGCACGCTGACAGCTCACGCTTCCAGCTTAGACAGAATATTATCCCCACTTATAGTAGTGTCTAACGTATTTATGAGGATTAGAACATACCCATTAGTGTTCATAGGTACGGTATATAACATACTAGCAGTAGAGCCCGGCGTTGCCCGGGGATGTAACAGTAAGAGATTGATCAAGTATCGACCATCATAAAGACTGAAAAATAAAATTGACAAAGATTATTTGTTTAAGGTTGACGGACACGCATGTCTTTATTATTTTTTTTATGAATTGGTCAAACCCAAACAAAAACATTGTTTTCAATCGTTATGAGTCTACCGATTGAATAGAATTTTATTATAAACAATTGTTTTGTAAATGGAATTTTTAAAACATTCTGAATGTAAAAATAAAGAAAAAAGTGTGCAAGACAATAAGAAACACTACCTGCCAAAAGAAAGTGAAGTTTTGTTGAAATCGGCTGAAAAATGTAGGAAATCCGATCCCATATATAAACGAACACACACACAAACAACTTGGGTTTTAACTTGAAGTGAGTTGTCCCCCTTTCATTAATGCCTCTTAATCGTGTTTTCAAATTGATTTCGTGCAAAAACAATTGTGTTTTGCTAGTTTTTGGCGCTGTTAGAACCACTGCAAGGTAATTTTACGTAGTCCTGTGAAGTTTTGTTGAAATCGGTTAAAAAATGTAGAAAATCCGATCCAATATATAAACGTTACACACACACACACACACACACACACACACACACACACACACACACAATCTGCGTTTTATAATAAGTAAGATATACCTACAGATATTACGCACATACTCCGACATCCATACATACACGGACATTTGTTCCCTTAAAATTTATTGCTATAAACTTTTCATGCGCTCTTTTTAACCCTTCTATGAACAACTTTCTGTTTCACATAATTGTTATCATTGTTGTTATTAAATTATATTCAAATTATTAGACGCTGTTATTTGCTAGTTGTGATACACCATCGAAATTTCGTTGCTATTTTCTCTTTTTTGTTTGACCTCGGCTGTAACATCATCTTTCCTTTACTCTAAAGGAGATTAGCATTAAACGCCTTCATCGTCAAAACAGGAAAGCAACAATCAGCAGCAGAAACAACAGACTAATGATAAAGTAGCAGAAGTTACAGAAATATAATATAATATTATAATAGTTATGGGACGGATGGAAAACTCGTTCCTTCCATATATCTTAGGAACGTTAGCATTAGATTTTTTTTTGCTTAATAAATCGAGAGCTTTAGCTCTTTTACTAAATGAGAACATTATGATATTGTATTGGACACACCCAAATTTTGACACGAACGAACGGAGAAAATAAACATCAGAAAGAAAGAAAAAAAGAAATTAAAAAAAAAACATATAAGAAAGAAAGCATTGAAGATAAAAGAGAGTAGTGCTTTAAAGCAAGAAAGAGAGACAGAGAGAAATACATGAAATGAAAATATGCAAATAAAAAGTAAGAGTGGAAATAATGAAAAAAATAATGCAGAGAAAGTAATAAAAATAGAAAGAACAAATATGGGATACAAAAAAAGAAAGATAAATAGAAAAATATGGATGAATGAAAAAGAGTGAGTGAAAAAAGGAAATATATAAGGAAATCTAAGAAAATATGTAAGAAAATAAAGAATGAATCGAAAGTATTCGAAAAAAAAAAAAAACTAATCTGAAACGAAGATGATTGAAAAGGGAAAGAAAGAACAAGACCTCTGAAAATCGTGGAAAAATAAATGCGAAAATAATTCAAATGGCAAGCGAACCAATAAACGACATTGCTGTTAACATAAATATTGTTAGACAGATGAAAATAGAAACGTAAAAAGAAAGGGAGATGTAAGAGAAATAAAAGAAAAAAAGATGTAAAGTGGGCGGAGAGAAAGAGACTGATCCGAAAAAAAAAATAACAGGCTACAAATTAGAATCACTCGTTACTTTCACATCATTCGTCCAAGTGGACATTTCGATCGGCCACATTAAGAAAGGTAATCGAATCAAGAGGCGAATGAAGACGACCATTAAAACAATTTGATTCAGCATTGATTTATAGGAAAGCCCTTGTCTTAATCCCGAGGCGCGCGTGACTCTTGGTCAATCTTATCATTCTTGAGAGAGGTGTGCAGGGTTTTTTTTTTCGGCTGATTGCCAGTTGTTTTTTATTCACGCTCTAGTTCAGCAATAATGGTAGTTAAAACACTAGATATAAAATACTAGATATAGTTGAATACTTCAACGAAAAATTACCTGAAGTTTGACAGCGGAAGTTCTGCTTCCAGCACAGAATATCCTAACTGCATTTAGAAGAGCACTGTCAGAAGTATTAAGATGACGAAGGGTAATTACCACGACGAGTAAATCCATCCTTAGAAGAATGATATAACACAAGAATTTTGCCTCTGTTACACGATCAACGGCTGAAAGTGGGTGCTAAGAAAGAGATAATATTTTCTGTTTGTATTTCTCTAGGCATTATAATATCTGTGATATAGTAACACTGTAATACAAGGACGGAACGGGGAACTTAAAGAAAGGAATGAAAAACATGTATTGTCCTTAAAGAAATTTTTTATGACATATATATATATATATATATATATTATATGTTATATTCCGTGCTAATAGGAATATATACTCGAACAACACGGTGGATAAATGAATAAAGGTTTATTGTAAAAACCAGTACAATAAGAAATAAGGTGAGTTATGCGCCCGATCGTCGCAAGTTAATCCAGTAGTGAGTGTTACTATTGGAAGGTCGGTATTTCTCGCGTAAATCTGAGTCGTACTCAACGGATCCCAGCTAGTAATATTTACCAACCTCCCCATGGGGTAGGATGTGCCACATGGACAAATTTAATGTGGGGCAATCCGAACCCGTATGCTCGGCCAAAATGTCCCCGTAAACCCCGGATAAACGGGTTCGCGTCTGTTTACCTCCCCGGACGGGACTCTGCCCTTCGGCATAGACTCGTCCGGGTTCCTCTCTGACCGAAGGCAGAGAGTTCGACAACAGCTAAAAGCTGAGTAACAGATCACAACTAGACAATATTTACCGACCTTCCCACCAGGTAGGATGTGGCACAAGGCCGAATTTAATGTGGAGCAATCTGAGCCTGTAGGCTCGGCTAAAAATTCCCGTAACCCTGCATAAACGGTTTCGGGTCTGTCTACCTCCCCGGACGTGACTCTGCCCTTCGGCATAGCCTCGTCCGGGTTCCTCTCTGCTTGTAGGCAGAGAGTTCGGCAACAGCCAATATCTGAGTGACTGATCCCATCTAGACTCCGTAGTCCGTTGACTTGCCGATACTTATATTTGGTTACTACCTATAATGGGGTGACAGGTTATTCTATTACATCAGTTACAAATTTGTCCCATACAGGGAACGTATATATTTTATACAACAAGCAACGGGAAAAGAGCGAAAAAAGTGAAGGTCTTGTAATATTTCCAAACAGGGAAAAGGGCAAATCGGTGATGTCCTTTACGTTTATTGTGAAACCACGTGAGTTCCTGTTTCCATGGGCTTGCGGCGTCGGTCTTCTCCGCAGCCGACTTCACAACTGATGTGGACAGACACATCTTGCCTCCAGACATAATAAATATCAATCGTCCTTCGTGACTCTATGAAATGATGTCACTCATCTGCCGCCATGTGAACCTCGTGACTTCGTTTCATCCGAAGGAAAATCGCCATTTACCATCTCTACAGGCATATTGTAATGTACGAATATAAGCAGAGACAATATCAACAATAATTGATGCCGGTGTAGTAGTAGTTATATTATAAGCACATGCATTCGTAAGAATGCATGTGCTTATAATATAACCACGAGAAGAAGAAGAAGAAGAAGTGAACAAAGGATCCATCAAAATTGAAAAACAGAAAGAAAGAACGATTATAAGGTATGTGTTCTGGATACAGTGTAACTCGGATATAAGAGACCCGGATATAAGAGAAACCCGGATATAAGAGAGATTTTCTCTGGTCCCAAATTAGAGCCTGTGTTAATGTGTATAAAATAGACCAAACCCGGATATAAGAGAAACTCGGATATAAGAGACTTTTTCTCCGGTCCCGACAACTCTCTTACATCCGGGTTACACTGTATATCTAAACTCATTCATTTGTGCATCTGTTGCACTGGTAAAAAGGACAAAAGAAAATCTATATTGCTCTTTTGTTTCCATGCTTCGTAAAGTCTTAATACTAAGGCCGTCCATAGACGATTGTTTGTATCTTTCTCTCCCGAGTGTAAAACGAATATCATTTAGAATTGAATGAGAATAAGTGCTTCCTTGAACACATCCAGCCTTTTCAATATTCTTACCGACTTCATCACTGCTGTGGTCTTTATTTATTCGGACATTAATGAGTCTATCACGCCAACCGTCATGGTCCTGCATGCATCAAACTTGGAAGGTCATTTGAAGGAATTCACTGTCACAATATAGCTGGTCAATGTAGGGGGTTGCTGGGCGACCAACGCGGCTTACTCCATAGCTAGGTGTCCACAGTGCGAGTTCTTGTTTTTTTCTCGCCAGCAGTGTCCTGCAAAGCGCGTTCGCGTAAGATTGTAGAAATATCAGGGATGGGTTCATAGATCATTTAGTTAGATGTTGTCTCCAGGAAATATTAAGTATAAATCTCAGCATCCGAGAGTGGGTTCCATTAAGCTTAGAGTCTAGAGTTTTAGTTAATGCCCAGGCACCGCCTTTAAGAAAGAATCTTAGTTCGAGGTTTCTGGTAGATCAGATTTCCAGATTACATCTTTTTCATTCACGGCAGCCCAGGCTTTAGCTATACGAATTTCACATCCTTTTCAGTATAATTTATCTCGCTTCCTATGTATGTAATAGTTTCGACGGATTAATTAATTCACTTGGGGCAGTTTGTATTGAGCCTTTCTGGTAGATGCCTCTGTTTTAGAGACATTGATACAAAGTCTAATATCTTTGGTAGCATTTTCTAGATGATGTAGGAGTACTGTGACATCTGTAATGGTGTCTCAGTTGTTTCAATTCTTCCGCGGAGCTTCCATTTTTTCCAATTTCTTTACTAGAGTGCTTACTTCTTCTTTGTGTCGTTGAAGACCATGGCCCTTCACAATTACCTGTCCCTTGTAGCTCTTGATAAATTTTATCTTATTTTTTCTCTCCTAAACCCTGTTCTGCCATCCATTTACACAAGCTCGCTAGGTAGGTTATGAGTTATTTTCCACTATCTCCTTACCTTCAATTTGCCCTTTGAGCATCAAATTTTCCAAGCCCTCTTTCCTCATTATGTGCTCTAGAAATTTCAATTGTCTATTTCTGATGTTAAATATAAGTGTCCTTTTTTGTTTCAATTTTCTCTAAAACTTCGTCGTTGCTCACATGTTTGGTCGATCGTATTCTCAACATTCTTCTGTAGAACCACATTTCTATTGCTTCAAGTCACTTCTTCATTCGTGAACAGATTGTACAGCATTCACTGTCCTATAGAAGGATTGATATTACATAAGAGTTCAGTGGTTTTTCTTTGTTTCTAACGAAAATTTCCTGTTTCTTAAGACATTGCTTAACCTTTAGAAGGCATCATTGCTAGCGCCATTCGCTTTCAAATTTCAGCGTTGCACTTTATGTCCTCTATAAAAACCGAGTCTTTCAGACTGTTTCTGATGTTCGAATTATTCTGGGCAAGAGATCCCCTTAAGTTTCAGTTGTTCGGATTTCCAGCAAGGTGTTGATATTTTTGCATTTAAAAATAATATTTAGTTCCACCTTGTAATCCAACAGAAAAGTCTACATCCACTGTTTGCAATTCTTTCTTTTTCTGTTTGGCTTAGAGTACTTACTTTCAATTCTATACTTCAAGAATTTAACCTATTTATATTTTGGAGATGATCGACTCGTTGAACGCGTGTCACCTTCAAAATTCTTATTGAATAATTCTTGTCGTACCTTATTTATAATTCTTTTGAAACAGTTTGATAGAGTCCCTCTTTATATGATCAATCAATCCGTCTTCTCTGTAAAGGCGCATATATTTATCGCTTTGCGTTTCAATCAAATGTAAAAATTCTACGATACTTTGAGACAGTGTCATAACATTAAAACAGTCACTGAAGATCGTCTTTTAATTACAGGGGAAGTCTCTTTTGTTTTGTTGCTTTCCAGTATGTATGAAATTATATGAGCTTAATGTTTACTAGTGTTATAAATAATTAAGAGTTGTCTCCCCTTGTTTCGTTACTCTTCTCTTTGAGGGAACTATTTCTGTTTACTGGGACTATAAAAAGACAATATACGCGAACCTTGTATTCTCAGTTGAATAAAGCTTTCTTAAAGTTAGTTAAGTTAGTTTTTCAATTACAGCTAATGCTACACAACAGGCGCCAACATAATTATTTTCGAATATGCAAAATAAATTGAATATAAGAAAAGTACTATAGAGAAATATTCTATACGCTAGAGATTTACTAAGCATAGATTAAATGTGGCACGAATCCGTAAATCTAGAGCATTTAGTGAGGTTCAAACACACTAGCCAATCAAAAGTGAGCTACTGAGATAATATTGGCACCCATTACTCCACACCGAACTACCCAAATAATGCTTTACTAAGCGTAGTTTAGATGTGGCACAATGCCGTAAGTTTAGAGCATGCAGAGGAGATCGATCTCACTACTCAGCCGTGATTTTTTTAGCGAAACAAACTTGGTACCGATTACACCACGTCCATGTTCCCCATAAACCGATTTATGAAACTCAGATGAAGTACAAGGGCACAAGAAAGGAGTAACCAGTGAGGATCGATCTCACTACTCAGTCGTGATTGATCTAGAGAAAAGATCTTGTTAACCATTACACGACATCGAAGTACTCTATATGATACTATAACATATAATAAAATTACTCACGGTGGAGTAATGGATAGCAGCTCGGATTGAGAAATTGGAGAGCCGAGTTCGAATTGCAGCCAAATCCATTACATTCACTTACGTGCTATTACCCTCGGGAAAGGTATGAATAATCGTCTTCTCTCCCCACCCCCAGCAGGATAGACCGGGTTCTATAGCCTTGGATGGCGGCTGGTTTACGCAGAAAGAAATGACAACTCACTGCGGAGAAAAAAAATATGCCTCGTCAGTCATATATCGAATGTATCACGCAAGGCACATAACTGACTGACATAATAGAAATGTTGTTGAGAAATAACGAAGCCGCTAGTTTTAGTCATCTTTTCTGGAAGTGACTTCGTTTAATCAAAGCAATAACGTTGTGTTTCATTTTTCCATTGCTGTCACCAGTGTCGGCAAATACAGAATTATCGTGACTAGTTGATCCTTCTGTCGATTCTTACGAAAATGGCTTCCATGAAAGAGAACCAAGATTCATTGCACATACTTTATCTACAGAAAAAACTCTGGTCAAACTGACTTTGAACTGATTGATTTGTAATGTCAAATGATCATGGCCCCGGTCACTATTATCGCAGCTCTTTGTTCCCAAAAACCGCTACTTTAAATAAAAATAAAAAAAATGTTTTAGAGATGGTGAGTTTTAAAAATCAACAAAAACAAACAATTCGCTTGCGCACAAATAAATGTGAACGTCACCAAGTCCAGAATGTCAACATATTCAATAGAAAAACGCCCGCATCCCCCGCCCCTATTCACATACAGAACACAAACGCATAGAATTAGAATGGGGGACACCTTGATGTGTATCAGGACTTACGCAGATACATACACTGGTAATGAAATATACACGTATGCACAAAAGGAAAGTATGCGTGCAAGCATAGACAAGAAGTCGTATACATACGAAAATGTAAAGTTTTATGGAAAAAATATATCGATTAATTTTATAGTGAAATTTTCCATCACTATAAAAGCAAGCAGATTCATAAGTTTAGTTACGCTTTAAACAGAATTTAAAATGAATGCGTTATATATAGAGGACACTTTAAAATATTTAAAATGACTACGATATATACACAGACACACACACACATATATATATATATTTCCTCAATCCGATTCGAATTCCAGTCGAATCCATTACATTCACTTACGTGCTAATACCCTTGGGAAAGGTATGAGTCCTCTTCTTCTTCCTTCCAGCTATGGGTAAATAGCAGGACAGACTGGGTTCTATAGCCTTGGATGGCAACTGGTCTAGGAGAATTCAAAACCTGCGGAGGGTCGTTTGGGGACCTTGTGGTACGTAGTGCACCAGGTTTCTGTATTCGGCCCTTCAAAAAGTGTGGATCGTCCTGCACGAAACCTTCACCACTATAATCAAATCTCATGTGCTGTTGTCGGGCTGACGTTTTCCTGGGAACTGATCTGCTTGACCCTCGTACGTCGGATTCGACGGAATCGACGGAAGAGTCGAGCGAGCTATATATATATATATATAGATAGATAGATAGATAGATAGATAGATATTACAATGAATCATTCATACAAAAAGTAGATTAGTAAAGTTAATGATATAAAATGACGAAAACTCTTCGCAAACAAAATTTTAAAGTTCCATCAACCTACGAACTACTCGATAAATGGTATGATCTTTGTTTTTAATAACTACAAGCTGTATAAGGCCTTTTTTTTTAATCCGCTAGTACTTTCAACTGGACACACAGTCATCCTCAGGCATGGAAATTATTTTGTTTTTAGTAAATCCAGGTAGTATCAGAGACCAAAGAGAAAATGCGAATCGAAATATGTTTCTTTTAGAAACGTGTTATTGTTAACGGATGAAAAATTTTGGAACGTGCAGTCGCAACGCGAAGGTTGAATTTTTTTGAAAATTTAAGTGAGTGTATTTTTTCGTAATATGGTAATTTGAAAAAAAATTGTTGTAGGAGTTTATCAGTGAAT